TTCCTTTACTTGGATGTCCCTTTCTTTCTCCAAATTAGGGAAGTTTTCTGTAAGAATCTCTCTGAATAGGCCTCTAGTCCTTTCTCTTTTCACACCTCAGGAACTTCTAAGACTCATATGTTGGATTGTTTGATAGTATCCCATAAATATCCAATATTGTTTTTAAGTTTTCTAATTCTTCTTGGTTTTTCTGTTCTGACTGAATGATTTCCAGAAGACAAACGTCTTCCTAGCTCGGATATTCTTTATTCTGCCTTACCAAGTCTGTTGTTAAGGCTTTTCACCACATTTTATATTTGATCTATTGAATTCCTCATATATAATATTATTTTGATTTCTCTTTAAAATCTCAATTTCATGGGGAATATTTTCATTCATATCATGTATGGTTTTCTTTAGTTTGTGGATCTGCTTATGGTTGTGTTTGAGTAATCCTATGACTAATTTTTGAACTCCTTTTCTGGCATTTTCATCAATCTCTTATCTCCGCATACTAACATTGAAATATTGTGTTTCTTTGCAGGGGGTCATGGTGTCTTCCTTATTCTTGTTTTTGAATTTCTGCATTCATTTTTAGGCATTTGTGGAATTAATTGTTTTATTTTTTCTTCTGATGGCTTTTATCTTTGAGTTATGCCACTGTGACATAGTGGACTGTCTGCACTTTCAGTGAATATCAAGAGGTGTGTGGTGGGTGTGGCCAGGGAGCTCTGGTCAGTGCTCCAGCATGGGGTGAGTATCCAGACGACACTCAAGTTGAGGGTGGTAGCTCTCCTCTGGATAACAGGAGGGAGAGGAATGGTCACCTCTGTGGGTGTGATCACCCTCTTACCTCCTCTCCTCCAAGCTGAGCAATGCCTGGGTGTTAACACCCAGTGCGTTCAACACTCATCCGCAACCCCAGATGAACCTCACATATCTGTGCAGTCCTCACTGTGAGCATGGTTCCCCTGCAATGTGCTGCTCTAGACAACCAAGGAGCTCCGAGAGTGTGCGGCAGCACCCGTTGATGACCAGAGACCCAGCTACACCCTGCCTCCTCTCACGCAGTCACAGTGTTTTCAATCTCAGCACCCAGGGCTTCCATGGTCAAGGAGTGCAAGAGGGTCCACTCCATCCTGCTAGCCTGCCCTGTCTACAGAGATGGAAGGGGTCCCAGAGCCGCTGCCTGTGTGTGTTCCACCCTGGTGGATCGGGCCCGATCCTCCGAGCCAGACTCAAAGCCAGTAGGGAATGCAGGTTTTTCCCTCGATAAAAGCCCTGGATCACACACGTGCACACTGCCAGCCGGCCGCAGCCCCAGTCACTTTACAGTCGTGCTGGGCATGTACCAGGGTCCCCGCAGGCAGCACTTCCCTGCCATTGCAGTGGCTCCCCCTCCCCACCCCTGGCCGTGGGTGCAGCTGTGGAGGTGGAAACCATGGCTGCCTGTTGCTACTGAGCTGCCCTGGATGCCCCTGCTGACCAGGTGGGAGTGACCCTGCTAGTTTCTGGGTGTGCACACAAGAGCTGGAGCAGCTGCTACCTGCTTATGTCCAAAAGTGGCACCAGCCCTCACACAGCTGGACACAGGTCACTACTATGGGGGCGGAGGGGGCACGTTTGTTTCTTTAATCTGGGTGAGCAGTCACCCTGTTCACCTCAGGCTTCTAGGCCGGACTTGAAGGCAGTGGTGTCTACCAGGCTGTCCCCAGGGTAGCAGCAGTGTGGTCACCAGGCTGTCCTCAGGGTACCAGCAGTGTGGTGACCAGGCTGTCCCCAGGGTATCATCAGTGTGGTCACCAGGCTGTCCCCAGGGTAGCAGCAGTGTGGTCACCAGGCTGTCCCCAGGGTAGCAGCAGTGTGGTCACCAGGCTGTCCCCAGGGTGTCAGCAGTGTGGTCACCAGGCTGTCCCCAGGGTATCAGCAGTGTGGTCCCCCCCCTGTCTTTTCACCTTTCTTTGCCAGAGCAACCCGGTTTTTTTTGGATCCAAGCTGCCAGGGGCCCTTCGTGGGGGCTTGCTTTTTTGCTGCGTGTTCTGCCCCCTTCCACAGAGGGCCCGGCTGTTTCCTCTGCCGGTTGCAGGGCCCCCCACTGTGGCCCTCCCTGCGGGCTTTACCCTGAGAGTGTACTTTCTCTTCTTCGTGTACTGATTTTGCCTATCGTAGGTCAGGCCACCCTGTCGCTGTTCTGCCTTCTTGGAACCATCGGATTTTCATAATGAGCGTTTTCTGTGACCTCATGTCTCTGCAGTAGTCAGATTCACAGACGGGGAGGGACCGTGGTGTTTGTGGAGGCTGGGGGCGGGGGAGTGATGGGACTGGCTCAGGAGTAGGGGTCCCAGTTTCTCAGTCTGAATGCGTCCTGAAGGTCTGCTGTGACTGAACTGCACACTTCAGCATCACTGTGATTAAAAGTTTT